TTTATGTTGATATATTATGTTCATAAAATAATAGTATGGCTATTTTATCTCCATTATTGAGCTTTCCTGGAATATGTTGCCGGAAGGGTGCCGGAAGGATAAGTAAAATCTTTTTTGTACATGATAGATGTGGCTGAACAAGTGATGTATATACTGTATGCAGCATCTTAGAGTTTCAGAATATCTAGTAGTATTTTGAATTTGTATATAAAAAATCTCACTCTTTTGGTATTTATCCCTGCTTTATGTACAGTCGTATTCAATAAAAAAGCGGACAAGTTTTTGGATGCTTACGAGAACTCCACTGTCATCATTTGGTAAACAATTATTTCCGATTGCCCTTTTTACGCCAATAGGATGTCATTTATGTTTCTCTGTAATATACTTGTACGCTTTTTTATTGAATACGACTGTATTTGTTGTGTATTTGAGAAGCTGTGACAACTTTACTGTCAACATTTGGTGAACAACAGTGCCGTAAATAGCCTTTTCTGCTCCCTGTGCGAGCTTCTATAACTGCGCCCTTATATATTGATTTAATTTCAAGTACTTGGTATGTTAAAGTTTTGAATAGAGAAGGTAACATAATATAAATTGCATTTAAGTATGAATTGGTGAAAAAACATTTATTCGAAAATATTTGCAAGATTATTTACAACTACATAATGCATAATACACAAATGATTGAGACCACAAATGAATGAGTTCAGATAGTGAAGATTCTTTCAAGCAAGCCATGAACATTTTCACAGATTTACTTTTCGCGCTTTCCTCATTGCGAAATCGTCGATAACTTTTTCATACGACAGGCATCGCCCTATGCCGCGTTCAATCGACAAAATCGCTAGGCCGGTCAACCTTTCTTGGCCGATCGTAGAGCGCAAGTAAGTTTTTATTAGTTTGAGCTTACTGAATGATCTTTCGCAGGAAGCTACAGTCACTGGCATTGTTAAAAAAATCTTTATAGCGACTACTACATTGGGAAACATATCTTTCAAATCTAGTTTGACTATAGCTTTAAGAAGACCCAGACTTGTACTACGGTCACATTTATTAAATAATATAGTCGTTTCAGCTTGACTCTTTAAAGTGTCTAATTCAGCCCAAAATTCAGTATTATTAATATCTGCTGAATATTTGATACTCAAATCAGCGGCATGTTTTTTTAGTTCTTCAGCTGGATATTTAGCAATATCTTCTATTGTCAAAAAATTAAAAAGGTGGTGAATATTGTGAAGTTTCTCGAATCTCCATGTGAATTCAGAAATCATTTTATCAATTGCTTCATACATATTAATTTTGAACCTTTGCTGTGGGGTAATATCGTAGCCGGCGTCTGAGATTTCTCCAAGGTCTTGTCTTTTCACTCGCTTTTTACGTTTTTCCGGAAAATAGTCCTCAATTTCACATTCTACACAAACTTTTTCTGCCTTTTCAAAAACGTTATCTATAGTCTCGCGAATATTCTGAATCTGCCTTATTAATCCTTTGATTAATTCAGAGGCTTTGTCAATAGCAATAGTTTTCGACTGTGAAGCTACGTTCACCCTATCAACAGACTCTAAAACTTGATCCCAAATTTGCAGAGTACATATAAATGTATAGTTTATTAGACCCATAATACTTTTAGCTGTAGCTACTGTTTCTGCATTGTAATCGTTGGTAGTTAAAATCTTCAGTGCACACCAGATTTGGGGCAGTTGCATATTTAAAGCTTTAACGGCTCTAGCTTTAGAAGCCCATCTAGTATCGGCATGTTTCTTTAAAGAAATTTTTAGATGTTTCATTAAGATTTCCCATCCGATGGTAGAACTCGAAAAAAACAGAAATATCTTCTGAATAGTTCCAAAAAATGTGATCATGTCGGGTGTTACACTAGCGGCATGTACGCCAGACAAATTCAAAGAATGTGCTGCACAAGGTAGGTTGAACGCGGTGTTTTGTCTACTCTTGATGATACTGGCATGTAGGTAAGTATGTGTTGGAATCGAGCACTAGGGGAACAGCAATAACGGGAACTCATCATGAGCAAACCGAAACAATGATAGTCCTGCCTGCTTTGGCCATTCTTTCTTGCGCCCCCCAGAGTCTACGCCCTGTGCCTGGGCACCGGTGGCACCGCCCTATTTACGGCACTGGTGAACAATCATTCCCGGTAGCCTGTTTTACAAATAGGATGAAGTTAATTTCTCTCTCAATACTTGAACGCTTTTTTCTATATCAAAATCACTGTCACCTATAAATTCCCAACACTATTTTTCGATTGTATTTACAACATTACTTGAAAGTTTCATTTCAGTTTGTATATAGTCGAGTTTAATGTGTCATATATATGATATAAATTATTATAGAGCTGAAAGTCCCATGAAAATATCGGACCTGAAAATAATGTCAACCAACTTTTAATTTCAATATGTGAGTTATTTTCCGGACTGTCCCGGAAACTGTTCGTGTAACAAAACAGCAGTGGCTTCACATTACATTTTAGTAGTAATTGGCGTTGAGCCAAATTGTGTCTATGATCCCAAGGGAAAAGTAAAATATTTGACATAAATATTTCTTGTGTACCTACATAATTCAGAAGGAAACCTCAATGCGAACATTACTACTTTTGTGTATTATGGTGTCTAGAAGCTAACCAATAAATTACTTCGTTATTTCTTCCATATACCAGGGGCATACAAAGAAAACTCAAACACATCGATTTTGTTTTCTGAATCCTCGATATTGAAACTTCATCAGGAATATACAGCGTGATGCCTTTTTTCTAAGTAAACTGTTTTTTGAATGAGTTGATATGTTTATCCGTAGTCTGGAAGTAGCTCACCAATAAATTAATTCGTTATTTTTTCCATATACCAGGGGCATACAAAGGAAACTCATACACATCGATTTTGTTTTCTGAATCCTCGATATTGAAACTTTATCAGGAATATACAGCGTGATGCATTTTTTTCCAAGTAAACTGTTTTTGAATGAGTTGATGATATGTTTATTAAGCCGTATAGTCTGGAGGTAGCTAACCAATACATGAATTCGTTATTTTTTCCATATACCAGGGGCATACAAAGGAAACTCATACACATCGATTTTGTTTTCTGAATCCTCGATATTGAAACTTTATCAGGAATATACAGCGTGACTCATTTTTTTCTAAGTAAACTGTTTTTCGAATGAGTTGATATGTTAATTAATCCGTAGTCTGGAAGTAGCTCACCAATGAATGAATTCGTTATTTTTTCCATATACCAGGGGTATACAAAGGAAACTCATACACATCGATTTTGTTTTCTGAATCCTCGATATTGAAACTTTATCAGGAATATACAGCGTGATGCATTTTTTCCAAGTAAACTGTTTTTGAATGAGTTGATGATATGTTTATTAAGCCGTATAGTCTGGAGGTAGCTAACCAATAAATGAATTCGTTATTTCTTCCATATACCAGGGAATTACAAAGAGAACTCATACAAATCGATTTTGTTATCTGAATCCTCGATATTGAAACTTTATCAGGAATATACAGCGTGATGCATTTTTTTCTAAGTATACTATTTTTTCAATGAGTCGATATGTTTATTAATCCGTAGTCTAGAGGTACAGTCAGATGCAAAGAACATGTCGCGATTGGATGGTGTTAGCGCTCTTATTGCAGAAGTGACTTGAGGTGCTATTGTAGCGGTTATTCATAAGAATTCTATATTATTTTATGGAGAACAATGTTTGAGTTGATTGATTTGTTTATTTGACGAGTTGTTCAGCTATTGTTATCTACATATATACCATGTGATTATAATCACAAAAGAAACAATCATCTATACTACACTATCACCGCCCATGTGCGACATTTTCATTGCATTTGACTGTACGCAAAAAAATATAGGAATACATTTGCGAAAAATGCCTTGATTTGCTCAATCAGTCTGCTAGAAAAATGTCATTTCCGTTCAGTTGACATAGAAGTTGGTATCTACTCCTGAAATCTGAACAAAAAAATGTCTGGATTACAAAAATCAGGCGGCTTTTATAATGTTATCGATCTTGCTTGTGGTAACTGTTTATTAATAATTGATTAATTACTAACTCAGTGAGACGATTGAGTAATTTCGATATTTTGTGAGTTTTTCGGCAAATTGTTGAACTACAATAGTGTCGATATACCGGATTCCCCTTTGCAGGAACATATTTGTGATATTATGTGATATTGATTCATGATGCACACTAATTTTATTCTGAATTTTCCTCACTTTTATTCGCGCTGTCGTGGTGTTGTGATATACAAAAATGAAAAAGTTATTGAAGCAGTTCAGGCGAGTGAACTAATTTTTTTATTGCTTAAATACCTCTCAATTTGATATTTTTTAGAATTTTTTGATCGACTTTAAGGTGCTAGAATCATCCATAATGCCACGGTGATTTTCAAACAGCTAGTAATTCACCGCGAGTAAAAACTGACGTCACGATTTCGTAAGTAGGGCAGACCATAGCACAGTTGCCATATGTTGAAATACGATTGGGAACTTCAGAAATAATAGTTATTCAATAATTCATAAATTCTCAATTATGTATTGGTAATATTCCTAATTATAAATAAAAGTTCAATTGTCTAAAAAGTTTTCCACATGTGTTGGGGCTAATTGCTTATAATAGATTTCTGTAAATGATAATTATTATATCAATTCACACTAGAGGACAAACGTGTGCACGAATTGTGGGCGATGTCTTGTCGGTTCTCATTATTCAGCACATTCTTGCCAAGTCTCCAACACCAATATAATATTTTTTGATATGGAGTATAAAGAGTATTTGGACATGCTGGTTGCTCGAAAAAGTCAACAATGAACTATAATATCATGACTTCCCCCTATTATGTTTCATCTAGTTTTATTCTACGAGAGAACTCTAATATCTTTTTGATATCTTCATTAAAATTGGTGGTTTGACAACCCTTGCTTCATGAGTGGGAATGGAAGATTATCTGACCAATAACAAAACAGCATTGAAACTGACGTCATCATTTATTCGACGTATCGCAGAACATGACCAAATGGCGGCCATGACGATACGTTTGAAATGAGCTCTGGAATTCAACAATTTCGAACAACGCATACACTCATTATTTACATAAAAAGCGTGAGGAGTGTTGCAAAAATTGATTCAGGTCACATTGGAGTGAATGAATGCCAATAATTCATTATCAGTTCACTCGCCCATTGTGATAAATGGAAAATGGATAGGAAATTGATGTGATCTGCAAATTGCTATTTAGTATTTTTCATTTTTGTCGAATTTTCCACCAATTTTACATTACATAACTCCATTCAGTGCTTGCATACACTGAATAAATTGTTTCCTTCTCAATATAGATCAACCTGGATTAATCTGTAGGTATACTAACAATAATTGTGTAATCAGATATTGCAAAATCGTCATCAATTATACAGAATGCTTCGTCGTGATATTTCATAGTCCAGATTTGTCCTTGTTGACCTGGATGAGAACAGCAAAGTATGACCAAGACGACTTCAGGATCTGAAAACAGAAATGATATTTGAATGGTTACAATAATTCATATTATTTGAGGATTTAGTGGGCATAAAGTAGGTATATATTTTATTACCTGGATCGGCAAGCGTAAAGTGACACTTCTGCGACCTTGAGTCTCATTTTGCCGTAAAGTACCTATAAAATCTGCTGATGCTCTCAAATTACCTACCTATCGACACGAAATACTATTCCTGACAATATTTTCCTGAATATATTTATTCTTTATCCACATTTCAATATAGTAGAGTGCCAATCGAATCCTATCGTTCACCCCGTGGGAAATCGGAGGTAAAAAGCTGTGACATGGCTAGAATTGTTACCTACCATCTCCAGATCACGGATCCACTTGTCGTCAAAAAATCGTCCTGTGCGTTTGGGGGGTAGGGGGTAATTTATAAAAAAATATGGATTATTTTTTTATTTGTGGAAAATATTGATGGGTTCCAGAACTTCCACCCTGTCGAATCTTGATTTCGTGTGACAAGTAGAACAAATTATAGAAAATTTTGAAATTTACTAATTACATTACGATATATGAGAGAATCATATTTCAAACGCCTATAACTCAAAACTTGTAAATTCTCGTTAAATTGTTTTTCATATACCTCGCATTATCTCAGTAACTACAACGTTTATCAAAAAAATTCTTCAAATAATGTCGATGCGCCTATGTTTCAAGATGCGAATGGTTCTTCGATTTTGAAAATCGAAGCATAAATAAGGAAGATATTGGGAAAATCATAATGCAATGCAGGTACCACGGACGAACGCGTTTCGCCGCATTCGTACCCCTATTCTCCCCGCAATACCCGCGGATATCGTAGTTCCATACGCTTTCGTTATACACATCAACATTGAGGCGTTGACCATTGCATCTAATGGTGACTTATTGTGAATTAATTATTCGATATTTGGTACTGTGTGCTCTGTTTCAATAATTAAATAAGTATTGATTAGCTAACGAAATCTATTATTGTAAATTTATCATAACATATATGTTTCTCTAGATAAAAGATGGAAAGTACTATCAATTCAGACACTGATCTTGAATATGTCTTGAAGTTGAAGATTCCTTTCCAACAGAGTACAGAATCGAGAAAATGTTTCATTTGTGGAAAAGATGGTCAACTCCTTCGTTGTACAGAATTATATAAGATAAGAAATAATATAAGAAAAAAACTCGGAAAAAACTATGCGAGGCAAATCGTAATGGAAATTCAGAGAATTGATGATATTTTCAATGAAAATAAAGGTCAATCGATCTCCTAGCACAGGAATATTGAAAACTGGAGACAATAGTGTCAGGAATAAAACACTTTCTATAGTGAAATTGATGTGAAGGTATTTTTGATGTGTCTTATAAAAGAATTTTCTACCAAAAACGTTCAAATAAGAGTCAAGTTTTGACCTAGTATTGACTACCAACATTGTTTATTGCCATGGAAGTCAAGTATCATAACCAATGCTTTGTATCGAATTGGAAACATTATAGAGGATCACTGAGTGAGAATAAAGTTGTCATACCACACATATGACAATAAATTTGATAATCTGATAAAATTAATAGATGGTGCAGATTTTCTAATGAAAAGGGGTATACTTTCAACTGTTTATATCAAAAATATGCCGAACTTGGTGGCAAAACTGGTAGGAAAATCTTAAACGAAGATTACTGTCTGTAGGTTAATCGAGAAGGTGCACTGAGAAAAATGGGTCAAATGATTATTTCATTCAGAAATTTGTATTGATCACTAGCAAAACTATTACTGCCTGTGAAAAATAAAATAACTGGACCAAAATTATCGATTCATTTGGTATCGCTCACCTACCATAAAATTTTCTAAATTTGAAACAAGCGTCTACTGATTTGCGGTAAAACAATTAAAATAATCATTTTCATCATTTGTAGTAAATTCTCAACGATTTTGTCTCATATCATGTTATTGATGGAGTGAATAGTAATATCATTTGTTATGAATGCAAATGATTGTTCGTCAGAATAGAAACTGTTTGCAGCCAATCAGATGCTTTTCAACTAACAAAACAGCACCAGTTTGAGATTAACGATTTTTCATTGTGCAGTAATGAAAATTAATTGTCCACAACAAAACTACTATAGGTTGGTCAATAACAATTGATTTGAGAAAAATGCTTCCGCATTCGCCATTAAATTGCGGTCTTTTCGATTTCGCAAATATATCTCTAATTGATAACCAGTTCATTCTCATTTCCAACAAATCAAAAACCACTTGGCCTCCATGAGCCGAAATCCATTGAGCCGACATCGTTGCCGATTGCTAGATATAACTCCCCAAATTAGGTACGCAAGTTTGAGATGTATTGGATCATTTTCTAACCTTATCAGTAGAATATCTTATTCAAATAGTTACATACCAGACATACAACATCAGATAATAGGTATATAGTTTCAGTCTTAACGTTTACTGATAGATGGCGATATATGTATTATGAGGAAATGAACACTAATAACGCCAAGATCAAAGATTACCATTGATTCTCCTACAGACTCGTAGGCTTTTGTTGAAAAACAGAAAATGATTATATTCTTACAAGAGCTCATATTGATTTTTGATACTACCTACAGTACCTACCTATAGTTAGTTATGAGTAATCAGAAATATCCTGATGTAAGGGTTCTTATATTTTCACCTAGTCGCCATTTTTTGTTTCTTCTTACCAAGAACTCGTCATGAATATCACGATGACATTCAATAATTATTTCTCTCATTCTCTTTTTTAATTTAGAAAGTCCACCATTATTGGCAACATCGCAATAATGTTCACCGATGGGCGGTGTGGTGGGGTCGATGTCGGCTCGGAGATGAGATTTCTTTTTAGTTACTGTGACCGGCTTTCATTCTGACCATAAAATATAGGAGATCAGGATAATACTTATAAATGCTATACGAATTTTTGCTTGAATGGGGACTTGAGAGTTTCTACGAGGACGTTTTAGGTAAGTGTCAATATAATAATGATAACATGTGAATTAAATATAGGGTTTAGGTGAGGTTAAGGTACGGATGTACATCCTAGGTAAATAATTTATAGGATAGTTATTATAGTTGATGTTCGTATGTTCTTTGTCTTAGGAATCAAATGAAATTTCAAGCTATTGTGTTTGTGAATTCAGATCATACAATCAATAAAACAATTTTAGTCTTATAATTTTTTATGTTGCAGCTATGCCATGGGTAATAGTGGAATTTGTAAAGACAGGCGAAGCGATGGAGGCTATACCTTTCAAATGGAATGATGACAACGATCAGATGGTTGTCTACCCTTCATTCAAAAAATCGCAGTTGGAAAAGGCAATCAAAACAGAAATGGAACCAGAGCCATACTAGAAAAATAACAAAGTTGTTTTGATGAGACCACAACCGATTGAATATTTAGAATTAAAAGCAATGGGAACAAATCGAAAAATATCTGTGGCAAATAAATGATGATTTGAAAGATATAGACAATGTTCTTTGCAGTAATACAAACACCCAGTAGTAACAAAATTGAAACGATTTGCTTCCAACAGAAAACTGATTTGTCTCAAATAATGTGCTAATACATCATGAATGAAACATACATTAATGGGCAAAGAAGGTGATGCTGAGAGCTAATTGAGAGATGATTTGAGATTATACATTATGGTCACTTGAAGCAAATGCCAATCACTTGATATAAAAACCCGACCATTTGTGTTCATCATATATGTTATCAGTTATAAATAAGTAAACATTTCGTCCTAGTTGAACAGAGTTATTGCTATAAAATAATCTCAAATCATTGGTAATTTACGTTGAATATTTGAACTATTGGTTGTAAGTATTAAAGTTATTACCTAGGCAAAAGTCTCGAGTTATTTGCTTCAAATGCATAGTTCACTCGTCCCCTATTTTGTTGAGGTTTTCGCTTGGGAGAAGTGGTTTTTAATTTGTGATCAATGAAATTTTTTCTCCGTGTGAAACATTCATTTTACTTGATTTTTTGGGATTTTCTCTCCTCGTTTCTTTGGACGTTTCGGCAACGAATCTACTCATGTTCTCAACATGAAAATGCAACTTCCAAAGAAAAATGTTTTGCATTTTTATGTTGAGAACAGGGCAAATTCGTTCCCGAAACGTTCAGAGAAACGAGGAGAGAAAATCTCGACAAAGTAAAATGAATTTATCGAAGAAATCAGAAAGCACTACGACAAGGAAATATAAATTATCAAATAAATCAAGACGTTGAGTCGTAATTTGTGATTCCAAAAGTGACAAAAACTCATCTGATTCATACACATATAAAGAACAAAGTGAAATTACAGAAGATAACTCCCCTGACTTTGTATGCATCAGATATGACCCAGATACACAAATTTTTTTGAGATATTTATCAAGATATGAGAGATATTCCAGATTATAAACAACTCAAAAATATGAATGTCAAGGAATACAAGGATATGATACCAGAAAAACTTTTTTGAATTAGTTGCCTTATACACAATAAAGTTGATTCAGTTGATTCAAAGGTGTTGAGTATCTGATGTCAAGGTATAATACTCGCTAATTCGAAATTCAAAAAACTCACACCAAAACACATTGGTTTGGGAATAATGATTCATCAAGAGACATGATCGAAAAAAATTATCGTAGCTTTGTGTTCTTGTGGACACTGTATCGTATTTACGTGTATTTAAAACTTCGCAATTCGATAGGTATCAAATAATGTTTCTTTCAGCTTTCCACAAGGATATCTTATTTTTATTTCAATATTATATGCATCATGTTTTGTTTCAATATTTGTCAATTTGATTATAAATGAGATGGTTGACATTTTACTCTGATGGATAAGAAATGTTCATTCAAACAGCAAGTAAAAATAAATTTCTGTTAACTTGGAAAATAGCGATCAATTCCATTTCTACCGTGAAATCCAAGATCGTACTATTCTGTAACACTCAGTAATCCATATTTACGGTGATCGTA